GACAATTTGAATCAGCTTGAGCTGTGCCCTAGATCTCCCTTTACACAATAGACCTTCTGCATTTGCGAAAACAGAGAGTATCAGGTCACTATATCAAGTTTTCAGGTTTCAATGACCTTGAGAAGAAATGTTTGGACATTAAAAATCAATTAGCAAAGAGTTCTTCTTTTTATCTCATTCCAGAAGATAAGTTAGGGAATAAAAGAAAGAGAGATAGCAGAGGAAGGAGAGATAGCAGAGACTGAAGGAGGGTACAACAACACTCTAGGGTGATCAGTGTGATGTAGTTTGGATCACTGAAGCACAAATTGTATTATAATGTGGTTAGCACTTCTTTTTTTGTTTTTGTTTTTGTTTTTAATTTTCCTGGAGGACACTTGCTGGAGAGACAAAGATATAGAAGGAAAGTGAGAAAATACCCTTATGGGGGGTGGTCACTCTGCAATCTCTTCTCCATTTCACCTTTCAGGATTTTGGATACACACACTCGCACACACCAGACATATTTTTCAAGTCATTGGGTCTGGGACTCGAACTGCGTAGTAGGCTATATGGGTTTCGGCCACTTTAACACCACACCACCATCTGGCCCATTTCAACAAAATTAAGTGTGGGTTCTAGGAGTACAAATTCTTGCTCTTGGAAGATATTATGCCTCTGCAAATATAGAATTTGTAAACTTGGTGATTTTAGAACACGCTGGCTAGAGTATGGGAAGCAGTAGTGTATTGTTCCATCCCAAGATGGAACATAGGAAGTTATCAGTCATGTCTGTCTCTTTTTCTTTCAATCACAGCATTTATTAATCAGTATTGACGTTATAACTGTGAGTTCCTTGAGGAATGAACTACATTTCATTCCTATTTATAACCTCAGTATCTTGTCACGTACTGGTGATAATGGAGCTTAAAAATATTAAATAAAAATAATAAATTCATTGCTGTAGTAGTAGTATTAGTAGAAAAATAACCAGCAATGTTTTTTTTTAATGTGATGAAGGATTTGGATACCAAGTGGGATATGTCTGAGGAGAGCTGCTCATTGGTCATTAGTTCTCAGAAGCTATGAAAGAGTCAACAATGTACTCTTCTGTTCAAACACTGTTTGCTCCAAGAAGCATTTCTGAGCTATCTAGGTCAAGCACACTTTCCCTTTTTGACTTGCTGCGAAATTCACATCAAGGCTATGGTCATGGTCTGTGAGAGTCCAATAGCAACCAAGTTTATTGCTCATAATTCTATTTTTCAAGCTGGCAAGTGATGTGGTGGTTGAAGTGCTGGATTCTCACATGGCCGACTGCGGCTTGAGTCCTGGACCTGGTGGCTTACTATCTCTTTTTTCACTCTATGGTCAAATTGAAGAAGAATAACGATAAGTAAAATAAAATAAGTAATTCTCTATAAAAGAATACTATGTTTCAGGCACTGTCCTAAGCCCTGAGGATAGAGCAGACTAAGACAATCCAGGCCCTGCTGCCATGTAGCTTGCATTCTAGTTGGGGCACCAACATTGGGCTGAGGTCTGATTCACATTTATTTCTCTGTTTCTCAGTATAAATCTTGTCTCCATTCTTTCTCATCCCAACAAGACAAATAGTTCCATGAAATTAAAAAATGTTCATACAACTTGCCCATGGTAAAACACTTAGAAAAATTTCTAAAAACAAAACCACCAACAAAAAAGCAGTGACTGGGACGAGACAGCAGGCTCTTGATTAGTTGTTCTGTCTCCCCATCCTACCTTTGTATCACCTGAAGGCATCAATCTCAGATATTGAAGTGAGTTACTGAGGCGTATTCCTAAATGTGAATGTTTGGAAAAATTCTTAAGAGAGAAGTGGTTAATAATCAGAAGAAAATACTTAAGAGTATCAAGTCCAGGGGCTGGCAGGTAGCCTGATGGTTAAGGGTGTTGGACTTCCATATGGCTGACTGTGGTTCGAGTCTCAGACCTGAAGGCTTGCTTTCTCATTTTCCTTCTCTCTCTCTCTCTGGTCAAATTAAAATAAGTAAAATAAATAAAGTTAAATAAAATAACAATTCTTTTTTAAAAAAATGTATCAAGTCCATAGTGGGCGCTTACTTGACAAGTCTTCCAAATAGTGGGTTGTCTTAATTATTCTACTTTTTAAAAAATTACTAGTCTACTTTTTTACTACATATCATAATCTGAGAGAGTTCACATTTTTAAATTTTAAGTAGTTGAAGGGGTTGGTCCAGTGAAATGACAAAACCTTAACTCTTCCTAATTATAATACTATTAATCTACAGTAAAAGTATTATCCAATACAAAAAAAATATTTGCTATCTATAAAAGCCATTTAAAATCTTGAAATAATAAAAGTTATAAAAATTAGTAGATTAGAAAAATGTCGAAAACCAAATAAAGTCTTAGAGTAATTAAAATAAATTATTCCAAAAGGAATTAGAATATAATTTAATATGCAAATTGGACTTTGCCCAAGCAATTGTAATTATAGACAACAGTTTATGCACACATACACACAGGAAGATGAAATAATAAAGTGACAGAACACATTATCTAGTAAGATATACTGACATGACTAAGATGAAAAATTATAAAGGATATTGTTTATTCTTCAATATCTTTATAGTATTAATGTAAAATTAAATCAATAAATAATTACACATCTAGCTTTAATTGTTGGTATTCAATAACTTGGGGGAAACACTGAGTATTAAATTTTTAAAATAGCTTCAATTAAAGATTGCTAAAATTAGACCAAAAATATTTCTTTACTAGATTAAATCTGAAGAATATATAAAATAGATTAGTATTTTGAAAAGAGGATAAAAGGGTGTTCAACTTGAAAAAACAATAGTGAAATCTATCATCACTCCACGTAGAATACTCCACGTAGAATACTCTGAACAAGGGAAGGTTACAGTTCTCATCTCTGTTTTCTCTTAAGTGTCCTTTAGTCATGGACTAATACACTGTGTTTTTAAGTACCTATTATTCATCATGGAAGTTATTGGTTGAGGCTAGTTCTGTGAAATAAATTATGAAAAAATAAATTATGTTACTTGACCTTGGGGCAAGAGCAATAATTAGAAGAGGCAAGGCATGATAATGGTTTTCATCATTGTACAGCAAACTTTATAATACTTGAAGACATAGACGATAGCCCGTTTCCTCAAACATGACCAGTAAATTTGGTTTTAAGTTGACGTTATAACAAGTAACACTTATTTTTATGTTTTATAGAATATTTCATATTTTATTTTAAGTTGACCTCATAACAAGTAACATGTAAAATATTTTATTTTATATTGATTTTCCTGAATGTTTGAAAATTGTGTGTATGTACACCATCAAGTATATTTACTTTTAATCTGTAATTCTACCTAGGTGGCAACAAATCTGTTGCATATTTCATGCTCAATTAAAAAGAAATCTTACAAGATTTCCATGTATTATGGAAAGATCACCATCTGTCCTCTATTTAATTAAGTCCATCCTGGTTATGTTAAATTTAGAATATTCTCTAAATATACATGAAGGAGAAGCCTGTTAAAAATGAATTGTCAGCAAGAAACAGGAGTGATTTTAACAAAGAAAGAAACTCTAAGAAATTCTTAACAAAAAGAAATATTTCAAAGTTGAATGCTCAAGTTGAATAAAATAATCATTCCCCTTTTACTATCTCACCACAACACAATGAAACTTAAAACCAAAATTTTGGAAGATACGGGAGTTTGATTAATTTTTTCTTCCTGCTACTTTTTACTTTGGAACACCTTTATGGGATCTGACTAAAGCCAGTAGGGGAAATGCTAAAATACTATAGGGAAGGCTTGTTCTTGGAGTAATTTAGACTTGATGAGTAATTTAGACTTGAGATTTGAGGGAGCAAAATGTTACTATAAATATCATGTTAAACAAACTTTACCAGTGAAATTTCTAGTGGATTGCATAGATGCAAGAATTTCAGAAAGCAAAACCAAAATTAGATGAGCATGCAAAAGTGGGGAGTTCTTAGAGGCTTCATGGGGTAAGGTATAAAGTATTAAGCTCTGACTTTTTCAAAAATTTTGTAGTTGTTTCAAAATATTTATCCTGAATATGAATATTCCTACCTTTAATACATATATCATTCCTGATTTATGAGCTGCAGCATCTACCTTTTACAAGATTCTTGGTAGAAATGCCATAAAAAGGAGCAGGACCAGCTCATGTCATGGTGGTTATGGTGGTTAGATTTTATATCATGTGGTTTGAGTCCTGGATCTGATGGCTTGAGAAGTATGCCAGGCACCATGTAGTTGCATGCCCAAAATCTTGAAAGAAGGGAGACACAGAGGAGAAGGGACTATTTTGACTATTCCCTGCACGGGATGCTTTTTCACTTTCTTTCTCTCCAGTGAGCACACACCCTCTGGGAATTCTATTTTTTTTTTTTTAAAGGAAAACTATATACACAAGAAGCAGAAAGCTTGTTTAAATAAGAGAAGACTATTTAAAGAGAATTAATTCTTCTCTAATTTAGCTATGCATTTTGAACAATTCATTCAAAATCCCAAAAAGCTCCATCCTATGCTTCTTTTCTTACCTTTTACATTGCCCTTCTTTCTTCTCTCTTCCTTTTTTCTTACCTTATCTTCCTTTCTTTCTTGTCTTTTTCTTCATGTCCCCTCTCCTGTCTTCCTAAAAGTTTACATGCTGTATGATTTCATTTATGTAACATTCTTGAAATGACAACATTATATAAATAGAAAACAAATTGGTGATTGCCAAGCGTTAAAGAGTGTGTGTGTGTGTGTGTGTGTGTGTGTGTGTGTGTGTGTGCAGGAAGTAGATATGGTTATAAAAGAGCAAAGTAAAAGATTCCTATGGTTATGAAAATGGTCTATATCTCTTAATCCTACTACCCTCATTCTGACACCATACTATAGAGTTTCAAGATTTTATCGGGGGGTAACATCTTGGAAAAGGCAAAAGGATACACAAAATCTCTTTATTATTTCTTAAAGCATGTGGTGTTCACTTTGGGAGCACATATACTAAAACTGGAATGATATAGAGATTAGCATGAGGCCTGTACAAGGATGACATGCTACTTCATGTAGCATTTCATATTTTCCCAAGCCTGGAGAGACACAGAGATCCAAGTGCAGAGACTATAAAGGACAACAAGTAAAATCAACATAAGATCCTTTCCAAGGCATATTATTGCCAAAATGGCAAAAGCAAAAAACAAAGATAATCTAAAAATTAATCTAAAACAAGTTAATCTAAAACAAGGATAATCTAAAACAGAGAAGTGTCAAGTTATTTGTAACAAATACTCCATCAGACTAATCTTTCACCTTTCAGCATAAACCATGCAGGCAAGGAGGGAATTGAAAGATGTATTACAAATTCTGAAAACAAAAACAAATTCAGCCAACAGTACTATACCCAGAAAGATCATCCTTCAAGTGGAAAGAAGAAATAAAATAATTTCCAGATAAACAAACACTGCAAGAGTTCACCAACTGTAGACCACCTCCTCAAGAAATACTGAAGGGAATACTACATCAAGAAAATGAATGGGTGATAAGTAAAAATTAAAAAAACACAAAACAACTAGGAAAGTAACTGACAAAGTGGTAGGAATAAGTTTTCACACATCAATAATAACGTTGAATGTTAATGAATTAAGTTCCCAAATTAAAAGACACAGACTGAAAAAAGATAGACATAAATTGACTGAGTGGTTAAAAAAAAAAAAGAGGAGAGAAAGAAAAGAAAACAGGAACCTTCTTTTTTTCACTTTATAAATGAACTCCATTTATAAAGACATACACAGATTGAAAGTGAAGGGCTGGAAAAAGTAATTTCATGCAAATGGAAACAAACAAACAAAAAAGTTAAAGCCATAATAATTATATAGACTTCAACCTAAAAACTCTAAATAGAGACAATGATGGTCACTATAAAGTATTAAAGGGGTTCATTCACCAAGAAGATGCAATAATTATAAATATATGCACCCAGTATCAGAGAGTCTAAATACATAAAACAAAGGATAATAGACCAAAAGAGAGAGATAGACTGCAACACAGTAATGCTGGGGATTTGAACACTCACTCTAACCACTGGATAAATTATCTAGACAAAAAATAGAGACACAGGAGATAAATGATGCCATTGACCAAATTGATCTGACAGACATTTACAGAACAATTCACCCAAAACCCACAAAATACACATTTTTCTCAACCCCTCATGGAACATTTTTTTGAAGATTTACTGTATAGTAGGGTACAAAACAGTGTTTACAAATTTAAAAGGATAGCAATAGTATCTGAAACCTTTTCTGATCACAACTGAATTAAACTTGAAATCAACAACAGAAAGAGTCTGAAAATACACAAATACATGGAAGCTAAACAATTTACTCCTTAATTATTTTGAAATTACTGAAAAACTTAAAAATGAAACTGAACAATTTCAAATTCATAACAATAGATGCATTGAAAACATTTGATAAATACATTATTCTTCATGATTAAAACTCTCAACAAAATGGGTATAGAAAGTACATTACTCAACACAATCAGAACCATCTATGATAAACCCATAGTGCATATCATACTGAAGAGAAGAACTGAAACCTTTCCACTAAAAACTGGAATAAGACAAGGTTATCTATATTCCCCTCCTTTTCGATATAATATTGAAAGTTCTAGCCAACATAATCAGACAAGAGAATAAAATGAAAGGCATTCAAATAGAAAAGGAAGAACCTAAATTGTTTCTTTGCAGACTACATGGTTATATACATAGAAAATCCAAAAGAATCCACAAAACTTTTAGCAGTGCCAAATAAATTCCATAAAGTTGTAGGATACAAAATCAGTATATCAAAATCTATAGATTTTTTTATACACCAACAATGAGTGGACTGAGACAAAACTGAAGAAAGCAATCCCATTTACAATAGTTGCAAGAAATTTTAAGTACATAACAATAAATCTAATCAAAGAATGTGAGACCTCTCTAAGGAAAACTATGGAAAATTGAAGAAAGAATTTCAAAAAGTTGCAAAAAAGTAAAGACATCTTTTGTTCTTGGATTAGAAGAATCAATACAATTAAAATGTTGATTCTACGCAAATTAGTTTAAATTCAGTTCTATTCAGATTACCAGTGACATTCTTTACAGAAATAGAAAAATATCATAAAAAATTTGTTTGAAATCGTGAAAGACCTCATATCAACAAGTCAATACTGTACAAAAAGAATAAAGCTGGAAGTATCTCACTATCTGATCTCAAAATATATTACAAAGTTATGATAAAAACAGCATGATAGTGGCATAAAAACAGACAAAATAGAAGAATAGAGAATCCAGAAATAAACTCAAAAACATACAGTCAACTGATTTTTGACAAAGTACACATGGCTATTTAGTGGAGAAAAGATATTATTTTCAGCAAATCATGCTGGGTAACCTGCATATCCATCTGCAGAAAAATGAAGCTAGATCCCTGCCTTTCATCATTAAGAAAGGTCAATTCAAATGTATCAAAGATCTAAATGTAAAGCCTCAGTTATAAAATTACTGATGAAAAACACAAGGGAATCAAAGACATTGGAATTGGCAAGTATTTCTTTAATAAGTGCCAAAAAGTGAATGCAACAATTTCACAAGTAGACAAGTGGGATCACATCAAACTAAAAAGCTTATGCACAACAAATGAAACAATAAATAGAGTGGAGAGATAGCTCATAGAATGGGAGAAAATATTCATAAACTGTATTTCATATAAAAGACTGACAACAAGACTATATTGGGAAAGCAAGCTTACATGCAGAAAAGTTAAAAATCCAATTAAAAATGAGCAATTGATCTGAACAGACAGGTCTCAAAGGAAGACATGTGAATAGCCAAAAAGCATATAAAAATATTTGTCATCACTTATCATATGGGAAAAACAAATCAAAATTACAATGAGATATCACCTGCTTCTGATCAAGATTGGCTATGATAGAAAAAGTGAAGATCTGGTGCTGATGAGACTGTGGTGAAATGGGAACACTTCTACACTATTGAAGAGAATGTAAATTAGTGTGGCTGTTATGGAAAACAATTGGGAAGTTTCTTGAAAATTTATAAATAGACGTATCATATGACCCAGTAATTTTACTCCTGGGTATTTAAATAAAGGACAGGAAATCATTCAGTCTGAAAGACATATGCAGTATTTATTTATTATGGTATTATTTACAAAAGCTAAGACATAGATTCCACATAACTTTCAAACTGATGATTGGATTTTTTAAAAAATCTGGCACATAAACGCAATGGAATACTACTTAGCCATAAAGAACAATAAGATCCTTTTATTCAATACAAAGTAGTTTAATCTATTACAGAAGATGTAATGCTATGTGAAATAAGCCAGGCTATGAAAGACAAACACTATATGTCCTACCTTGATATATACTTAATGTCTGTATTCTATGGCAGAAATGGAAAGTTTTGAAGACACATGAGAAGAGAGGGCAAGAGTAGATACCAGAGACTGCATAGGGGCTGGGAGATAAGGGATAGGAGGAGATGAGGAAAAAAAACATTTAACAGACCCAGAAATGCAGGTAGACAGGGAAAGTAGATTGTGGAATGGCATACCACAACTAAGTAAAAGAACATTTTATATATTGTATACATATATGTATATAAATGTACATAGTCAGATATATGTGTTGATTGAGCCAATGCACAGTGTATTTTGGATGGAAAATTCATTTGTGTGTTGTGATGGTGTAAAGTGAATTAATAAAAAAAATTATAAATAGACGTATCATATGACCCAGTAATTTTACTCCTGGGTATTTAAATAAAGGACAGGAAATCATTCAGTCAGAAAGACATATGCAGTATTTATTTATTATGGTATTATTTACAAAAGCTAAGACATGGATTCCACATAACTTTCATACTGATGATTGGATTTTTTTAAAAATCTGGCACATAAACACAATGGAATACTACTTAGCCATAAAGAACAATAAGATCCTTTTATTCAATACAAAGTAGTTTAATCTATTATAGAAGATGTAATGCTATGTGAAATAAGCCAGGCTATGAAAGACAAACACTATATGTCCTACCTTGATATATACTTAATGTCTGTATTCTATGGCAGAAATGGAAAGTTTTGAAGACACATGAGAAGAGAGGGCAAGAGTAGATACCAGAGACTGCATAGGGGTTGGGAGATAAGGGATAGGAGGAGATGAGGAAAAAAAACATTTAACAGACCCAGAAATGCAGGTAGACAGGGAAAGTAGATTGTGGAATGGCATACCACAACTAAGTAAAAGAACATTTTATATATTGTATACATATATGTATATAAATGTACATAGTCAGATATATGTGTGTATATATATATATACACACATATATATGATATATAATATATATAATATAGTATGTATTTCAAAATAGGTGTTTTCATTGAAAATGATGAATATAGTATTTTCCTTGATTTGATGCATGCATGCTTTGAAAATCCAGGGACCAGCAGTTAGCGTAATGGCTATGTCGCTGGACTCCCACCCGCGGTTCTAGTCCCGGACCCGGTGGCTTGAACTCACGCTGGACGCGTGTGCATGCGTGCCCAAGATCTTGAGAGGAGAATGGAGGAGAAGGGATTGGGGCTTGGCCATCCCCCCTGGGAGGTGATTTCTCCCTTTCTGTCTCTCTGTCTCTCTCTGCCTGTGTGGCGAGCGCATGTGCCCTATAGCAAAAACCTCTCCAAAAAAAAAAAAAAAAAAATCCATGTTGTGCCCCACAAAAATATACAGCTATTACATGTAAATTTTATTTGTTAAATAAATAAAATTGAAAAAAGATTTTAAAAAGTATATTAATTTGCAAGTACCTTGAAATCAAAGTTTAATTAAATTACTGAACATTATGATAATAGAGAACAACTTGAGGCAACTGAAGTCATTCACTCACACCACACTTCCTTCATTATCTCTCTGCTCAGGCAGTCTTGGCACCAAATACTTTCTGGCATTTTTATCCCTGGTATAGTAATACAACATTATCAATAATATAAATTCATGTGGGCAAGCAGGTAAG